AGATTGCTCTGGGGCGCTCCCTTTGTCCCATCTTTGGCCCAACACGATGTGCTCTCTCAATATTCAAATCATCAATCACATCCAGTTTTTCACGGGCCAGTTTGTTCACAAACTCAATGATGTTATTTTCTTCACAACCCTCAGGTACAGAGTAGATTCTCATATTTTTTTTGCGAGCTTGGCTCTCAAGTGCCTCACATTTCATTTCTAGTTGTTTTTGCATCTGAACCACTTGCATTAACACATTGGAGGTTTTCATTGCATAGTCTTCACTCTCAACAATTCTCTGTTCAGCTTCCTCCATTCTTTTTTTGATGCTCGTGAACTCTGCTCGTAGCTCATTCAATTCTGTTTTTAATGCTCCAAAGCTGGCTGATGTTTCAGTTCGAAATTCTCTCAGTTCTTTGAGTATTTCAGCCATACCTGAAGATTTAGTTGGTGTCATGTCCTCAGCTGATTCCAGTTGATTGTTCTCCATTTGTTTGTGAGCACCTTCTTCCATTTGTTTGGTGGATTGCTTTTGCCTTGGTTTTGGCATATTCCACAGCTCCAGTCATAAATTAATCAACTTGCAGTAAAAGGTCTTGGTTTCAGAGGATTTCCACACAAATTTTCATCATTCCAAGCACTTTTAAATAGAATCTTCTTAAATTGTTTGGAGAGCCTCTCACAGGCACACCTGTCCAGCGGCCATGTTCCGTGTATATTCCATCCAGTCCACGAGATTTACTGACTGGAAGCTCAATCACTGCTTGACCCACCTCACAAGCCGTAACACTAATGGACTCAGTGCTGTTTATCACTGTTACATTCATTTGTTCACTACATATGCAGTTAAATAGAGCATCATAATGCTGTTTCCAATGCTCACCAATATTGTCTGGTCCAGTCATACCTTCAACACAGCGAGGCATGACGGTTTTGTTTCTATTAAGAACTCGTATCTCTTTCCAAAACATTTTTGATAGTAGTTTCCCAGCCAAGGAATCAGACCACATTGCTTGATCACTCTTCTTAATGAACCTAATAGCATACTTATATCTAGCACGTGTAAGCTTTTTTTTTATATAGCAGGCCTTGTCTGGGTCCACCCGCTTGGGCCCATTCCCTTGTTGCTACTTGGGCCTGCTCATGGAATCCAGCGACATACATGTTCCACCCGAGCAACTTAATATTAGAGCTGTGGATCACTTTATAAAGTGATTTACCGCTTCAATAAGAACTCTGATTATTAGATCATAAAATGTACAGATGTCCACTTTGTGTTTCATATATGCACAATTTGGATCAGTACACCTAATGGCCTGATTGGGTAGAACAACCTTTCTCAACAATTCTTCCGTTTTTATCGAGAATGACCTCAACTCACTTTTTGTAACATTAGACCAGTTCAAACTGCTTTGACACACTCCTTCATTACCTACAAACACCTCAGGCAGACGCTCAACTTTGACTGAGAATGAAATTGGAATATGATCACTGATGGCCAGGTTATAATAGTTCAATACTATTCATTGAACTAAGAGACCCATGAGCATCTGATGAGCTAAAACAATGATCTAGCCATGAAGTAGAATTCCAGGCTTCACTAATATATGCATAACTGTCATGCGGCAGCATGAGCGTACTTGACACAATGTATTTGTGCTCTAAACAAAACTGACTCAGATGTTTGCCAAATTTGGAATTCACATTAGAGATATCGGCATTCATATCTCCCACAACATATATACTAGTAAAATTGAAACTTTCCATGAAAGAGTTTAAAAAAGCAAGCTTATTAAGATAATCTCCTTCGTTCTGTCGGCATTCATAAGGTAAATATACACATAAGACCAGAAAATCCTTATTTCCAACGGACAAATGTATTCCGATACACCAATCTACTCCCATTCTAATAATTTTGACACAATTATCCATAGTTTTTTTCCACAGTATTGCGACACCCCCAGGTATCCTCCCTCTAACAATACTGCTGGAAAATCTGTAGTAGATTCACCCGCCCCTAAAAAGAAATTATTAAAAGAGTTCAACTTTGAGAGGTCTTGCTGAACTAAAAATGTCTCTTGCAAATAGAGAATATCACAGTCAGTTAAAAGGTGATCAATGACCAGTCTATGAGCTTTACCTCCATCACTGTTTCCGAGCCGAAGCCCGCGGCAGTTATAAGACAGAACTCGTAATTCCATATATTATCATTTTCCCACCACAGCAGCTCCATTGTTGCCCTTTGTATTATTCAGCTCAATTCTGTCATGCCCAGCTCCCCTGGGCTCAAAATATCGCCGAACAAAAGCCCCTTCAGGCCAGAGATCCGGATTGTACATTTCCGTCACATCACTGCATTCAGCAGAAACTTTAAAGGAACTGAAACATTTATAAACAGTTTCGATCCTTTTACAGCCAATGTCTCGGCCAAGCTTTTCTTTCAGATACATAGATAAAGTCAGTTCGTCAACATCGGGTGAGAATCTGGAAGCGAAAGCACTCATCAGCTTGGTTGTAACCATTGGAATGTTTTTCACTACTCCCGTTCCAATAGACTAATGCTGGGCGGACACTGTGCGACTTTTTCACTCGTAGCACTCAGCTTCGGCTCAAACTGTACGACTTCCTCGCAGGGCAGATCTCACGAGTCATGTGCTCACACTGTCCGTCTGGTAGCAACACGTCGGCCCTAAAATATGCTAAAAATAGCAGTTTTTACACAACACGTCAGACTTTTTTGTCTTGTTTTGCTTGTTGTCCTTCGGGAGTGCTGCAGGAGGACACACAGGGATTTATGGGGGTTGGATGAGGAAAACGAAATAAAGAAAGTAAATCTGTGTTTTGTGATCAGTTTAATTTGACGTGAACACGACAAACACGCTTTCTTGGCAATCTTTGTGAGTAAAAAAACGTGTAGAAACAAAAACGAACAACGTGTGTTATTAGGGAAATAGCGGGCGAGCGGCGTTGATGCAGGATTGCGCATGCGCCGTGAGCGGTTCTGATACATTTTGGGTCGCAGCTGCTCGCAGCGCCGCTTCAACAGTGCGATACCCTCACGAGGGACGAGCAAAATATCAAACACGCCAGAAGTCCGTGCGAGCTCACGATTGCTGATTGGTAGCTGGTCACGTGGTGTTAATCGCCTCTCGTAACCCCCTGTACACTACACGACGCTCAGCGCAAAACTCGCCCCGATCTCGTGGATTCTCGCACGAGTGGAAAATCGGCTCAAAAAAGTGAAAAAGTTGCACAGTGTACGCCCGGCTTTAGTCCCAGGTCTCTTCACTTTTCCAGAAGCTGCAGGGCGCTGTCGGGAAATTTCGGCCTCGGCTGCCGCTGGGCGAGATCTACTCTTACCAGCAATCAGACTCCACATTGGAGACGGTGTCCTACCCAAATTCAACTTTGTTGCAAATTCCACCAGTTCAGAATCACTATTCAACTGCATGTCCTCAGTTGACACAAGAGGATCCAGGCCTCACACTTTTTCCGCCATGGTCACGTGAGACTCCTCCATAGTAGCAGCAACAACCTTATTAGTTACATTAGCCGATGCCCTTGCAGGACTTTGTTCAACAGCCTTAGTAGCTTCTGTAGCCAGATCAGCTGCAGCTTTTTGTTCCAAAGCACTCACCCGATCGCATATTTCCACTGCAATTGTCTTTAGATCTTGGCTGACATCACTCTGACTTTTTACTACATCCTTAAGGGTTGCTACTTTGGTGCTCAGCTGCTCCATTGTCCTTAATAGACAAGATACATCCAAGCTGCTAAATGTCACCGGTGGCAGGTCCTCCAGATTATAAGACACAAACCTTGGGACATTATTTACACACTCATTCAGCACTTTGAGACAAATCTTTAAATTGTTTATATCTTTCTGAGCGCCTTTATGTTGAATATTTCTCTGTGTGGTAGAACAGAGATCAAACAAGGTCTTTTTGGAGGCCTCAATCCTCTCCGAATCAAAGGTGCTAGTTGCCAATAGTACAATCTCCTCTTAGCTCATAATCTTCATTTTGGTGAAAAGGAAGCTTAATAGTTCATCCTCGATGACCACTTTACCCTCAGTAGTGTGGTAGATCTCAGGTTTCAGCCGAGAGCGCTTGCAGGAAGCCGTCAGGGCAGAGGCAGAGGCAGCCATCTTGGTGGAACCTCGCGTGCATCCGTGTAATGTAGGATGAGATGACTAAATCATTTTTGCATTTACAGAAATGGAAAGAGATCTTATTATGCAGAGAGTCACGATCTTTGACTCTACAGACACGTAGCCACCGGGTAGCACACATAACATAGATATTTTCTATGGTTTGGTCTGTCTTCCACATAAAAGTGAAGATAAACGGCCCAAAAAATGATTCTTTCAAAATCTCCAACCACAGTGATCTGTGAAATCTCAGATGACAACATTTGATTGTGGATGTAAATAAACACGGTTGTAGGTTTTGCAACACTGCCCGCGACAATGCTCTTGACTTTAAGTGTGACCTGTTTACTCTCGCTTGTATGTTTGTACAAGCTCAAATACTGCTTAGTTTACAGGGCCACGGGCAAAGGATGATGGTGACAACGGTTGTTGTACGCAGCCTAGAAATTCCACGTCCAAGGAATGTGTTTCCTCAACAATGCCAAAAATGTGGGGAACTACCACCACCTACTGGCTTGGCATTCCTATAGCTGCCCTTCACAATGCACAGATTTTTTTTTCTGGTGAAAATGAGGTGGTAAGGACCAAGTATTTGTTGATTTTGATGGACACGTGGGGGGGGGGGGGGGGGGGGGGGGGGGGGTCGGTTTTACAAAAACCCGGCTACATGCTTACGCTTCCAGTGAGGGCTGTTCCTGGCATGAATACTCTCCTGCTGTCTAATACAAAGGTTATGAGGTGTAAAACTGGGGCAGAGTAACTGCAGCTCTGTTCAGGAGGATCGGGGTATCTCATAATAGATGTGTAATCCCCAAACCAGCATGATTGAAATGTTTCCATTCCTGTGGGTGTTGTCTGATAGTTTCTTCATGGAGAATCAGTACCCAGATGAGGCAAAGAGGGAGGAGATTGCCAATGCCTGTAACTCTGTCATCCAGAAGCCAGGTAGGAAGATATTTATATAGTTTTTGTTTGTTTGTTTTTTTCATTGCTGATTCCAAGATCTAAACCTAGCGGGCAGCTGCCATGTTGCTCCACAATGTTACCACAGGAGCCCAGTTGGGATAAAGACAAAAACTAGCTCTAAAGCCGAACAACAGATGTATATTTTTGCCTTCCCTTCCTAAACGTTTCATCCATTGTGGTGACGGGCTGGAAGTTCCAGGCTAACGTCGTTGTAGAAAAAAACACAATGGATAATGCCATTGAAGTGACGTGCTTTGCTGACCTAACGTCCCATAATGTGAGTCTTTAGGTCTTTGGCTGTGTCCAAATTCAAGGGCGCCATCCTTCGAAGGTTGCATTTGTAAGTCATTTATGTCACAGTGATGCAACCAAGGCTTTCCGAATCCGACCCACATTCTTAATCACACATAGGGTTTGGCGTATGATAAATGATAAATGACCTGCACTTGTGTAGCGCCTCTCAGAGTAAGGACTCCAAAGTGCTTTACACTACAGTGTATCATTCATCCATTCACACACACATTCACACACTGGTGGGGATGAGAGGCGAGGCTGCCGAGCACAGGCGCCACCGGTCCCTCCGACCACCACCAGCAGGCAAGGTGGGTTAAGTGTCTTGCCCAAGGACACAACAGCAGAATTCTCTGTCCGGAGCCGGGATCTAACCTGCAACCTTGCGATTACTGGACAACCCGCTCAACCTGTTGAGCTACTGCTGCCCTTTCTAGCCCACCCCAAACGTAAGATTTATTGTAGGTAGATTTTTCTTCAGGGCGGCGGTGGCTGATGAGTTAAGTGCCTGCGCAATAACCAGAAGGCTGCAGGTTTGAACCCTGTCTACTGCATTTATTGTGTCTTCGGGCAAGACACGTAACCTGCCTGGCCTGCTGGTGCAGGTCAGAGGGACCAGTGGTGCTAGTGTTTGCCAGTCTCATCTTTGTCAGCGCTACATTGTAGTTTATCACCATCAGGGTGTGTGTGTGTGTGTGTGTGTGCTTGGGTGGATGACTGTTTGTGCTGTAAAGCCGGGGACCCTAGAATGCTCTATATCAAAGACAGGCCATTTACCATTTTACCATTTCTTGTAATTATGGCAGAAGGAGTAGGAGAGGATCAGAGTCCTGCACTGTTCCCATTTTTCCCACCTGCAGCCGTCAATAATTTTCATACCTGACCCAGTACCCATGGTCGTCAAATCTGTAACCGGCCCTTTGATTTAAAATCTGCTACCGGACCTAAAAGGTGTACATATACACTGATTATGATATGTTTGTTATTACCAACCATTCCAAAGTTCTGCCAAAAGTCTTTGCCTTACTAGAAAGATTGTCCAGAATATGGTACTCACCTCTATCAAGGCTTGCTTTTACGTTGCCCATTTCTGTATTTTTTTTTTTCTAGCCAACAGCTTCTTTGAAATTAAACTTGCCTAACCTCATAGGTGGGGCTTCACAGAACATTTGGGAGCATTTTTTCTTTAAATATACATAAAAAATACATTTTATTTTGCAGTTGCAGTCAACAAAGGGCCTGGCCTATGTCAACCAGTTATCCTGGGTCTTTTGAAGGATGACACCCTTGAATTTGGACACAGTTTTCATCACTTCATTAATTTTTCATAAAGATGCCATCATGCAAATGGTTTAGATCGCATGCTCCAAAGTGTGGCTACATAGTGTTCAGTGTCTGAACTGATGGACACTTTGCCATGTTGTCTAATCAATAAAGTGGTCAGAATAATCCTTTTTGCGCTGATCTAGGTATGTGTCACTCCAGAGCCCAGGTTTGGTTTTGTAAGAACCACCTTTGTTGGTGTGATTATTCAACAGCTGTTTATTGGCCAGGAACTTCAAACTCATGATCAGAACTGAACGTGTTTTTGATGTTATGTCTCCAGATGGCAAGAGAAGAAGTCAATTTTTAGGGTTTCACAATGTTAATTAGTGCCAGCATGCAGATTACGTACCATCTATTATCCACATCTATAAACAAAGGTCACATTACAGTTACCACCAGGGGATTTCAGGGATGCTAAGCGTTGAGCGGTATTGCACGATTGTTTTTCTTGTTGTAAAGGTGATGAATCGGGCAACCCAACAATATCAGCTTTACTATCAAGAAGCATTGTAACAACAAAGGAAAAGTCCTTCAAACACAAATTTCCTTACTTTTTTGCAGTTTGCATTTTCCACCACAAGTACACACCTACTGTACATAGTCCACCTTTTGAAGCACAGAAGTGCAGTTAGAAGAGATCACCTTTGTTTCCTCCATCAGGCTGCAAACTGTCAGAGTTTGAACGTGTAACAGCGCTGAAGGTGTACAACTGGTTTGCCAACCGCCGGAAGGAAATGAAAAGGAGAGCAAATATAGGTGAGTCCAGGTAACCTGACATGAGGAGGCAGTGATTTGCATCAGCATTTTACTAAATCATTCCCCCTCCTGTCTTAACACAAGCAGAAGCTGCTATTCTGGAAAGCCACGGAATCGAAGTGCCAAGTCCGAGTGGTCACTCCAACGGCGAGGAGGGAGAGATGCAGGAGTTTGGAGATCATGTGAATCATCGATTCTCGGAGCAGGTGAGCCAAGGGCCCTGGTCATGTTGCTTTAAAACAAAACAAAACAAAACAATCTCCACAACTTTTGACTTGCTCATGACCTTGTCTGCTGCCATTCCAGCGGACTTAGAGGTGGGCAATATACTGAAAACGCACCAATGCCGAAATCGTCTTTTACTATTAGGTATTTGAATAATCATGAAAAGATGTGTTTGGGTGACCGAAACAAGAAGGGAGAGATGGTGAGGAAATTGAAGATGATTCAGATGTTGAATCAGCGCGTAGCAGCTGGTGGGTAGCGGCAGGCGGAAGCCGGTAGCAGCTGGTGGGTAGCTATCGTACATTTATCATTATCAAGGTGAACTGCTCAATATATGGTAATGTTGTTTTGTGGCCATATCACCCTGTCCCTAACATTGTTAGAACTTTGCTCAACATCAGTAGAGGTGCAGCAACTTGTTGAAGTCCAATGTTAAACAGCCAAAATAAATCCACATTACCAAACTGTTCAGTCCGTTATTGTCAGCGATGTGATTCACTGTGTCCTCCATCTTTTCTTTCTTTTTTGGGGTGCCTACCTGTTAGTTGTAAAAGTCTACGGCTACACAAACATTAGCCGCTAGCAGTGCGTCTGGCCGCCGTGGCTCTGTTCCAGCCATGGGTTAGTCCAGCATGGAGCATCTCTTTTCATCTGCCCTTTATATAGATTTTTCTGTTTGCCCGTTCTCATATGTCATCCATCCATCCATCCATCCATCCATTTTCATCCACTTATCCAGAGTCGGGTCGCGGGGGCAGTAGCCTAAGTCGAGAGGCCCAGACCTCCCTCTCTCCAGCCACTTGGGCCAGCTCCTCCGGGGGAATCCCAAGACGTTCCCTGGCCAGGTGAGAGACATAGTCCCTCCACCGTGTCCTGGGTCTTCCTTTAGGTCTCCTCCCGGTTGGTCATGACCATAAAACCTCACCAGTGAGGCGTCCAGGAGGCATCCTGACCAGATGCCCGAGCCACCTCAACTGGCTCCTCTCATGTGGAGGAGCAGTGAATCTACTCCGAGCTCCTCTCACATGATCGAGCTTCTCACCCTATCTCTAAGGGAGAGCCCAGCCACTTTGGAGAAAACTCATTTCGGCCGCTTGTATCCGTGATCTCGGTCTTTCGGTCACTACCCAAAGCTCGTGACCATAGGTGAGGGTAGGAACGTAGATCGACCGGTAAATCGAGAGCTTCACCTTCTCACTCAGCTCTCTCTTCACCACGACAGACCGGTACAACGCCCACATCACTGCAGACGCAGCACCAATCCGCCTATCGATCTCACGCTCCAGTTTCCCCTCACTCGTGAACAAGACCCCGAGATACTTAAACTCCTCCACTTGGGGCAGGACCTCATTCCTGACCTGGAGAAGGCATTCTACCCTTTTCCGAATCAAGACCGTATGTCATATGTCTCATATGTCACACGAGGTAAATTTATTACAATATACAGTATGTATTGCTATCGGTTTCTCACTCAGCCTTACATTTTTAAGTCATGAATACTAATGAGTAGCATTTGTCGTTTTCAGACCTCCACTCTTTCCACTTCTTAACAAAACAATGCCGTCTATTTGCTGCAATGCTAAAGTGGCATCAGGGGTCCTTAGGTCGTTTTTAAATGGTCAGCCAGGCAGTTGTTGCAATATTACTACCAAGAGAGGTGGAACGAATGCCGCAAAATCCGTGCATCGCTATACCGGAAAGGTGCATTTATAAGACATACAGTTGCGGTAACATGACGCTGATTTGCCTGCATGGTGTGTCTTGTAAAAAGGGCTACTGGTTGTGTTGTGAGGTGCCTCGAGGAGTGTTGTAGAACCCTGAAAGACGCTATACAGATACAAGCTATTTAGCATTTCTAGCGCTCTATTGGGTTGGTGGGTGGGATGGTGCGACAAAGCAGGAAAATGAAGGTAGCGGTGGCTTGTTTGCAACGGCTCTGGACAATTAAGACTTGGGCTTTTCTCTGAGTCAAGAGCAGATAGAGTTACTTACATTTATTCAGAAAAAGGCTGTGTTTGCGTCTTCTTTGAGAGTGAATGGTGGACTGCCCCGTTGACTGGCATTCATAAGTGTAAGTATATCAAGTTGTTCGTTGTCCAATAGCATGTGGAGACAGTTATTAACACAACCGTAGATACCACTCCACAGCTGAGCTCTATGGGTTGTGGCCAGGCTATACTGTATATTCACATATAGTATGGCTTGCCAGGCTAACACATCACAGCCGATTTATTGAAGAAACAAGCGAGACCTTTAACACTGATGGACCTGCTGAGCTGCACTTCTCTGCCTTATGTAGACATGATGTCAAATTCATGAGTTAACCTCTTTGTAGACATTTCTGGATGTCACTGGGGCAGCAGCAGAAACTAACATCAGGCAGGAGGACATAAACACACTCCATAAAGCTTGAGCAGCTGCTTCAGTGATTTTCCACAAGCTGACCAAACATAAATCTGTTGGAAAATAGAAAAAATGCTGGAAGTGCTGCAGGGGTGTAAGAAACTGTATCTGGTGCTCTCACTGGTGCTCTTCAGCCAAGGGATTCACATAAATGTTGGCAAAAGGAGATCTGAGGCACTCAGGAGATCAAAAATAAAAAGCCTTTATTAGTACATGGCTCAAATAGTTAAAAACATAAATAGGGATGCACCGATGGATTGGCATTTGATCGTAATCGGCCGATAGCTCCCCTATCGGTTTTGATCGGAATTTTCAAAATAGATCAAAGCAGACCGATCAGGTAGGGTTGTCACGGTAACCGGTGTAGCGGTAAACCCCGGTTGAAAAAAAGTTGACAATAATAATAACCGTCTTGTTTAAAAAAAAACTATATTATCTTGGTGGATTAGCGTGGCTGTGGTGTAGGCGCGGTGACCCTTACCAGCCACCGTATCATCTGCTGAAGTTGCAGGACCGGCGGCACATGCGCACTTTGTTGTTTACAACCAAAACTTTCTTGAAGCTAAAGCTGAAATAATGGCCAAAGGAGGAGACGGCAGCGCTCAGGAGGACATTTTTTATCCCTCAAAGAAGACAAAGTCGGAAGTACGGGCATCTTTTAGTTATTTGAAGAATGCCGAGGGACAGTTGATAGAAGACGGCTATCCTGTTTGCAGCATGTGCAGAAAAAGTGTCTGTGAAAGGCAGCAACGCTTCAAATCTCATGACACATCTGCATGACCATCGCCCACAACTCTACAGTCAACGCAAGGCAAGCTAACGTTAGCATTTTAGCCAAAATGCGTGATCCGAGGATTTGGGTTGAGGGAGAATGCAACGAGTCGCTATATAAAGCAGCCGCAGCGCCGCTACCTGATATAAACCGTGTCGCGGACACCGCCATGTTGAAATGACGCTATGCATTACGGGGCTCCCAGGGGCAGATAAGAGTTGGTCTCTCTCCGAGAATAATTATGAATTTAACAACGATTACTGCCTGATGACATTTTCCCACATCTGCAAAGCTCACTGGAAGGACACAAACCGAGGACAATATTTTCCTGATATAGGGTTTATTACTCAAGTAAGAGTAAAAAGTATCTTTTTAGAAGGCTACTTGAGTACTGAGTGTCATCTGATCTAATATTTTTAAATGATGACATCAAACAGACATAAAATAAGAAGTTATGGGCAAATATTGGTATTTTAAAGACTAAAGGGAAAAAAATGTAAACAAATAAACAACATTATTACAAAATAACACATTTTAGGCTAAATTTAGACACAAACTGAGGACAATATTTTCCTGATATACAGGGTTTATTTAATTGTGTGAAAATGTAGAATGTTTAAAAAAAATACCGCGATAATACCGAAAACCGTGGTAATTTTGGTCACAATAACCGTGAGGTTAAATTTTCACACAGTGACAACCCTAATACAGACCATTTTAGATTAGGTTACATTTCCTTTATTCCCAGATTATGTAGTTTGTAGCACTCATTATAATGTTGTAGAAAATTTCTGGCCAATCCACGTGATCGGTACCGGTGATCGGTATCGGTGATCAGCATTCTTTGATTTCGGTATCGGTGATCGACAGCAAAAAACCTGATCGGTGCACCCCTAAACATAAATGCCGACCAAGCCCCCACAATGCGGCTCAAAAAATGGAGGCCATCCCGGAAGTACCAAAAATTGCAGTTCCACCCTCATCCACTAGGGGCTGGGGTCAGAAGCGAGCAAATCCTCATTGACTCCCATGTTAAAAATTCCAATTTCACAGCAGAAACAAACATGTTTACAGCCTGGAACCAAAACATGTTTTTGGTTTAAATGATCTAGTTTACACTCAGGACAACTCTGGGGGGGGGGGGGGGGGGGATTTTTTTTCTCGCTCTTCTGTTTAAGTGTATTAAAAGCCTAAAATTCTGTATAATTAATGAGCATCAGACCCACATGACCACAGAGCTAGCTCCGTGGAAAGGCCTCAGTAGAGCCTCGGTCTGGCCTGGAAACTAATCCGGGATTTTGAGTCTCTGTGTTTGTGTATTCTTGTTTGGATATTTTTTGTGCAATTGTTGGACAAAATGACTTGCTGTGGCATTAGTTGCACTAATAGAGCGTCCAACGAGTCTCCACTTCATTTTTTCAGTAAGTAAAATTATATTTATGTATTTTAGATAGGGCTGCACAATATATCGAAAAATTATTGTCATCGCGATAACAGGTCGTGCGATAGGCCCATCGCAAAACACGGCAAAAACGGCGATAAATGTTTGGTTCAACATTTCCATCCGTGTCATACATCACCTTTTTGTAAACCAGCTCTGTTTTTTTACGCGGAAGTATTATTTGACCAATCAAATGTAGTCCTTCTTATATGCGGCCAATCAGATGGTCCCGTTCACGTAATACACCCGCCCCCTACATAGACCCTTTTGGAAAGCATCACCTGAACAGAGATAGCGGCGCTGTTCCCTTGTTCGTCATGCTGGCTCAGAGCAACGAACGCACTTTGTGCTGATGTTTCTGGATTCAGCGCCGCTTTCAAACGTGAACGTGAGTCCGCTCGGTGTCGTTAATCATTTTTACCGGGCTGACTCCGACATGTGCCGGTGAACCAACCCACCTTCATGTCGCTAGTGTTAGCCCCAGGCTCTGGTTAGCTTCCAGCTAAAAGGCTACAGCACTCTCCTCCCAGTCCCACCCTGCTAAAGAGGGCCTGGAAAAGTTCCCCCACACATCAAAGTGATTTTTCATTCATGAGCTTTTATAACCTTGTTAACCAGGATAGTTGATTTGCTGCTGCACATAAACTGTCAGTCAGAAGCTCTGCTAGCCGCTTATCTTAGAGGAGCTAGTTCAATTAGTTAGCTTGTTATCAGAATCATAGTTGCAGTTTCATCATCTGAGCTATTTTTAAGATCTAGGAAAACTTGTTCAATTTGGGGTTAAAAACAAACGTTTTCACATATTTTCCATGTAGTTTTTTGCCAGTTCCTCTTCTGAAAGGTAGACAATTGTTTTTCTCTTTCCCTCAGAAAATCTTAACCCTCTGATGCATGAATTATGAGATCTTCAACCATGATTTTTTTAACAATTTTTTTCATTCATCTTTAGGTGTGAATGAAACAAATTTCAACAAATATTTTTTGTAACATTTTGTTAATTTACAAATAATTTATTACATGTCCATCTCAGTGGACAGCGTGCATTCTGAACATGAAATATGGTGGCTTGCCTTTCTGAAGTCCAAATGGAGGGGCTCACATACAATAAAGTCTTCAACAGCTGTGCTTATTAGCAAAAATAAATAAATAACAATTTTGAGTACCTGTCCACTGTAGTGACCATTATGCATCAAAGGGTTAATATTCTCCTAGTTTGGCCCAGCACAGTTCACTTCCCAATTACAGCAACAGCCTTATATCATAACCACATAAGTGGAGAAAATGTTCAGTAGCAATGAGAGAATTTGCTGTTGCATTTAAGTGATGTTAACTATTATTTAACATTTAAACTTATTTTCTGATTTTTTTTATTTATTCTAAAAACCCTGGTAGGGGATGTTTTTCTGTATTTGGAGCATCAGAAAAAGTTTTATGGTGGAGGTGATGTTTTAAAGTCGCTGAGAAACTGCATGCATGCAGTTTGTTGTTTTGCTGCTAATACAGTAGCAGGTGCAGCTGCTACTGCAGTAGCGGGTGCAGCTGCTAATACAGTAGCGGGTGCAGCTGCTAATACAGTAGCGGGTGCAGCTGCTAATACAGTAGCGGGTGCAGCTGCTAATACAGTAGCGGGTGCAGCTGCTAATGCAGTAGCGGGTGCAGCTGCTAATACAGTAGCGGGTGCAGCTGCTGATGCAGTAGCGGGTGCAGCTGCTAATACAGTAGCGGGTGCAGCTGCTAATGCAGTAGCGGGTGCAGCTGCTAGTACAGTAGCGAGTGCAGCTGCTAATACAGTAGCAGGTGCAGCTGCTACTGCAGTAGCGGGTGCAGCTGCTAATACAGTAGCGGGTGCAGCTGCTAATACAGTAGCGGGTGCAGCTGCTAGTACAGTAGCGGGTGCAGCTGCTAATACAGTAGCGGGTGCAGCTGCTAATACAGTAGCGGGTGCAGCTGCTAATGCAGTAGCGGGTGCAGCTGCTAATACAGTAGCTGGTGCAGCTGCTAATGCAGTAGCGGGTGCAGCTGCTAATACAGTAGCGGGTGCAGCTGCTAATACAGTAGCGGGTGCAGGTGCTAATGCAGTAGCGGGTGCAGCTGCTAATACAGTAGCGGGTGCAGCTGCTAATACAGTAGCAGGTGCAGCTGCTACTGCAGTAGCGGGTGCAGCTGCTAATACAGTAGCGGGTGCAGCTGCTAATACAGTAGCGGGTGCAGCTGCTAGTACAGTAGCGGGTGCAGCTGCTAATACAGTAGCGGGTGCAGCTGCTAATACAGTAGCGGGTGCAGCTGCTAGTACAGTAGCGGGTGCAGCTGCTAATACAGTAGCTGGTGCAGCTGCTAATGCAGTAGCGGGTGCAGCTGCTAGTACAGTAGCGGGTGCAGCTGCTAATACAGTAGCGGGTGCAGCTGCTAATACAGTAGCGGGTGCAGCTGCTAGTACAGTAGCGGGTGCAGCTGCTAATACAGTAGCTGGTGCAGCTGCTAATACAGTAGCTGGTGCAGCTGCTAATGCAGTAGCGGGTGCAGCTGCTAATACAGTAGCGGGTGCAGGTGCTAATACATTAGCGGGTGCAGCTGCTAATGCAGTAGCGGGTGCAGCTGCTAATGCAGTAGCAGGTGCAGCTGCTAATGCAGTAGCGGGTGTAGCTGCTAATGCAGTAGCAGGTGCAGCTGCTAATGCAGTAGAGGGTGCAGCTGCTAATGCAGTAGCGGGTGCAGCTGCTAATACAGTAGCGGGTGCAGCTGCTAATACAGTAGCGGGTGCAGCTGCTAATACAGTAGCGGGTGCAGCTGCTAATACAGTAGCGGGTGCAGCTGCTAATGCAGTAGCGGGTGCAGCTGCTAGTACAGTAGCGGGTGCAGCTGCTAATGCAGTAGCGGGTGCGGCTGCTAATGCAGTAGCGGGTGCGGCTGCTAATACAGTAGCGGGTGCGGCTGCTAATGCAGTAGCGGGTGCAGCTGCTAATGCAGTAGCGGGTGCAGCTGCTAATGCAGTAGCGGGTGCAGCTGCTAATACAGTAGCGGGTGCGGCTGCTAATGCAGTAGCGGGTGCAGCTGCTAATACAGTAGCAGGTGCAGCTGCTAATACAGTAGCAGGTGCAGCTGCTAATACAGTAGCAGGTGCAGCTGCTAATACAGTAGCGGGTGCAGCTGCTAATACAGTAGCGGGTACAGCTGCTAATACAGTAGCTGGTGCAGCTGCTAATACAGTAGCGGGTACAGCTGCTAATACAGTAGCGGGTGCGGCTGCTAATACAGTAGCGGGTGCAGCTGCTAATACAGTAGCGGGTGCAGCTGCTAATGCAGTAGCGGGTGCAGCTGCTAATACAGTAGCGGGTGCGGCTGCTAATGCAGTAGTGGGTGCAGCTGCTAATACAGTAGCAGGTGCAGCTGCTAATACAGTAGCAGGTGCAGCTGCTAATACAGTAGCAGGTGCAGCTGCTAATACAGTAGCAGGTGCAGCTGCTAATACAGTAGCAGGTGCAGCTGCTAATACAGTAGCAGGTGCAGCTGCTAATACAGTAGCGGGTGCAGCTGCTAATACAGTAGCGGGTGCAGCTGCTAATACAGTAGCGGGTGCAGCTGCTAATACAGTAGCAGGTGCAGCTGCTAATACAGTAGCGGGTGCAGCTGCTAATACAGTAGCAGGTGCAGCTGCTAATACAGTAGCAGGTGCAGCTGCTAATACAGTAGCAGGTGCAGCTGCTAATACAGTAGCAGGTGCAGCTGCTAATACAGTAGCAGGTGCAGCTGCTAATACAGTAGCAGGTGCAGCTGCTAATACAGTAGCGGGTGCAGCTGCTAATACAGTAGCAGGTGCAGCTGCTGATACAGTAGCAGGTGCAGCTGCTAATACAGTAGCGGGTGCAGCTGCTAATACAGTAGCGGGTGCAGCTGCTAATACAGTAGCAGGTGCAGCTGCATATGTTTGCAATAAAAATGTTATGTTGTAATGGAATTCATGCATTAGTTTTTGTTTGCTTTGAACCCAGAGCAGACGTCACACGCCAGACGACATCAACACTGCATACTTTAGTATTTGTTCATTTATCGTGAGTAATATCGATATCACAATATTAAGCACTGTTATCGAATATCACAGGTTTTCCTAATATCGTGCAGCCCTACTGTTAGGTCACTGCCGAGCTGAGCTTAGATTTTAACATGTACTGTTTAACCATGACATTTAAATGTAATAGGGTAAAACCCAGTGCATTTAACATAATGCTGCACTTTAGAAAGTGGGTTGAAATATAACATGTTGGTGGAGCTGGGTTCCCACTATCGGCTTGTGGAGCTCTCGGGAGACCTCTGTTTTCCACCCAGTTCTCCCCTCCCCGCAGCTCGGCGCATCTCTGATCGCGGCTTCTGTCTGCTGCGCGGGCTGCCGGCTTGTGGAGCTCCGGGAAGGAAACCTTTCCACCCGGTTCTCCCCAGCGGCAGCTCTGCGCATCTCAGACTCAGAAGCTCTGGTGTTGTGCACAGTTAACTCTGGTTGTAGCTAGGTTGCTACCTCCGTTAGCTTAGCTCCCACCTCCGCGTTAGCCTTGGGTTAGCTTCACGTTAGCTTGTAGCTAGTTTGACCGGGTGTCGTCAGTTGATCCCAGCCTTACAGCCCCACCCTCAGCTCCTCCTCTCTTCCTTTTTGTGGAATGGTCTGGGCTGGACGGAACCTGTGACACGGTCAAAATGGCGGTGGTGGCCACCTCCCATTTGGCCTCAAAAACGTGTTATTGGAGCCTATGGGAATACATTTTCCAGCATATTTATGTCGATGATGCAGACGCGTTTCAGCCCACAGGGCCTTCGTCAGGTTTTGTGAGCCCTGACGAAGGCCCTGTGGGCTGAAACGCATCGCCATTTGTTTTTAACTATTTGAGCCATGTACTAATAAAGGCTTTTATTTTTGATCTCCTGAGTGCCTCAGATCTCCTTTTGCCAACATAAATCTGTTGGAGCGTGTGTGTGTGTATGTGTGTGTGTGTGTGTGTGTGTGTGCGCGCGCGTGTGTGTGTGTGTGTGTGCTTCCAGTGCAACAGAAGGGAGCTCCAGACTGTATAGAGGAGGACACTCTTTAGCAAACAAGATGTGTCTAATAAGGATTCAGAAACCTGAGCATTTGTTCTTTCACAGGAGGATGTGTCTTCCCAGAGGGCTGTGGATCAGCATGGTTCCTCCCTATTGTCCCCTGTGGATGGGGCAGCCCCACCAAGCCCCAGCTCTCAGCGAGTACAGCAAAAGGATAATGACTCCAAAAGGGAGCCTGTGGACAAAGAGTGACTTAAGCCAGCAAACCTTACAGTACACATATTTGACTTTTAATCAAATGAACTAGGGACACCAATAGACGCCCTCTCTACCCATGTAGGACCTTTTGGACCTGTGACGCCTCTAACTCCAAAGCAAGAGAGTATTGACGCTCACTGAGGTGTCTCGGATGGTAAGGAGGGCACTGTATTTATCAACAGTAATCCTGCTTATTAATGGCAATATACAGTGTATGTATAGGTATATAGGGTATAAGGTATACACACCAATATATAAATATATAGTGCATTCCAAGATGGTATTAAAAGGCCTAAATTCCTTAGAGGGAGGATTATGTAAAAGGATACCTCATCATTTTAAGCTGAGCTTTTCCTGTTTTCTTTGCTGCGTGCTTTTTTGTCCTTTCAGCGTTTTAAGAGTGTTTATTTTGGCATGAATGTGTTAATCCTGCAGGTCAGGTGTGACTGGGTGTGGTGTGACATATGATTCATTGTTTGGCGAGGCAAAAGTTTGCTTGAATGTTTGTGAGGTGATTGATCGATCGATCAATCCACACATGCTGTTGCCATCACATCTGTAATTCCCTGAGGGACATCTGGAATCTCAGGTAACCCCCCTCCCAAAAAAAAAAAGGAGAAAGTCATGACTGGCACCTGGTTATTCTTGTGATGTTATGTGTACTTTATGATAAATGATGATCCGCACTTGTATAGCGCCTCTCAGAGTCAGGACTCCAAAGCACTTTACACTACAGTGTATCATTCATCCATTCACACACACATTCACACCCTGGTGGGGATGAGCTACGATGTAGCCACAGCTGCCCTGGGACGCACTGACAGAGGCGAGGCTGCCGAGCACAGGCGCCACCGGTCCCTCCGACCCCCACCAGCAGGCAACGTGGGTTAAGTGTCTTGCCCCAGGGCACAGCAGCAGAATTCTCTGGTCAGAGCCGGAATCGAACCTACAACCTTCTGATTACTGGACAACCCGCTCAGCCTGTTGAGCTACTGCTGGTCTTTATTTGATTCGTGTTTAACAAACACCAAACGTAAGACTTTTATTTTGTAGGCAAACATGCCCTAAAAGAAGCCATCAGTTACCTTTAAGTTGCTCATTTTTACGTCCCTTACCCGATGAAACTCGACTTTTTAGAAAAATATTCTTTTTCACATTTTTATTAATTTTTTTGGGTATTTAAAAAATATTTTCAAAGAAAAAAAACTGCAGAATTTCTTCGAACATCATCTCACTTACAGCCCGTTGAGCTGAAGCTCACTTCACGTGAATGTGCTCAAGTGATGCTCTCTCTAAGTGTAATCCCTACAGCCCTGAAAACACACACTTCACTGGGTGTTTTTATTCAAACCTCATTAGCGGCATATAAACGTTTGTCAAACTTTAAACATGAATAGCCAGATTAACCTTTGCATTACACAGATCTTGATATTTATTGGCCCACGGCCTCAGGAATGACCTCCTAAATGTTCATATGATGAACACAAGTTTTTTTCTCTGTTGTGGCCCAGGTAGGGTGCCTCTGTGTTGCGTCCTAATGCCAAAGCTATGCCAAGAAGAGCTGCAGGACAACCTGTGCTAGGGACAGAGTAGAACAGTGACAGTGCTGTGGATTTACAATGCATTATGTAAATGTACAACACTAGCCATCTCTAGCTTACCTCAGAATAACTGTTATGAATAATGTAGAGGCTGTCTGGCGACACTGACAGCAGCTGGTGTGATTATGCTGATACGGGCAGTGTTACGTAGCAATCATAGCAACAGGCGTCGCCCTGAGCTGTCCGTGTAACTCACCTCAGACAGCACTTTAGTCTGGCTTTGGACAGGATCCCCCAAAGCTGCTGCAGTTTCTTATTATCATGCTCCTCCCTATCTGCTTTTATCTGACCAGGGAAACAATAACAATAATAAATGTGTACACAATCAGTGGGATGTGTCTCAGTTCATTCTTTGAGTAGTTTAAGGTTTGGTTTTCATCATACTTGTAAGCAGGCAGAAGATCGTCTATCAAAGCCAGCTACAGAGCAGTGGCGGATCTAGGATTTTTCAGATTACGGGGCCATCAAGGGACCACAGTATTCCTAGAGGGGCCGTGTATTAGTCCAACATCCTTAAACAGACATTCATATTTGGCCGATTAGCACCACAGTGTTCGGACTTGGAATTGCATCCACCTCTAACCTGATCATTGAGCAGAGGACAGATGAGTGACTGGACAGGGGCACTTGAGGGGGCAAATCAGACTTCAGCGGGGGCCGATGTCCCGGTGGCCCCGCCCATAGATCTGCTACAGCATAATTGAAGTTATAAAATTAACTATATTAAAATGTAAGCCATGAAAATTTGTTGTTTGTGGAAAATGATAAGTGTGCAACTTTAATAGAGTAAATGAAAAGTTTCAGTAAAAAAAAGCTGTTTAAAGTTGTACTAGAATGCTTTTTGTTATTGTAAATTGTCTTTAAGCTTTTATATGACTTCTGAAATTGGTTGAAGCTCAAAATAGCCTAAGAGTCTTGACAAATGGCCAAATCCAAGCCCTACAAGAACTGATGAGCTTACGCCTCCTACTTTCCTTGGAAATGAATATTAAATGAGCTACATGCTGATTGGCTGGTTTACCCAAATGGCTCACTACCTGATGCTAGAGACACTTTTCTCAGCTAGTGGGGCGGGAGATGACGAACAAGGAGAGTCTGGTAGACCGCTATATTTGGATATGAATAAAGAACAAAGACAGCGGCAGTCATAGGCGTCATTTTAACCGGGGACGCCGGGGACATGTCCCCGGCAAAATTTGTGATTGGCAGCTGTGTCCCCCCCACTTTCAAAAACGCCTGCTGATGAGGATTTTTGTTTTACCAGCTCAGATCTTATCCAGGGGTCGGCAACCTGTTCCCATCAAAGAGCCGTTATTACCCGTTTCCCACGGTAATTCTGGACGGACCTTAATAAGCAGTGACTTAAGTGAAGCAGGCAGGTCGCGCTAGAAAATTTAGTTTAAAAAGACGTCATAAATGTTTTCCCCCGTCCTTTTTATTTATAAAATATGAAGTAAAAACTCACAATTTAATTTTCATTCATTTGTCATTAATATGTAGTCTACACCCGTGCGTTAAGTGGACCATCTTCCAGTAAACGCAAAGCATCCAGTCCACCTCTCCAAATGCGTAAAATGTGCATCACAGCCGCTAGTTAGGCGCGTCGCGCGCACCATCAGCTGATCAGCCCAGACAAGAGCAGAGCAACTAGAGAAAGAATAGAGGATAATTGTGTCTGGATGTGGATGGAGATTACATTTTACAGCAGCCTGTCCATCATTTAAATACGTAAACCATCACCTGTCTTCTAGTCCACGCTATCAGCATTATTTTATCTGGTGTGTGTGTGTTTGTGTGTTTGTGTGTGTGTGTGTGTGTGTGTGTGTTTTCCACTTCAAACACTGGTCTAACCAACCAGACCAGCGTGTCCAGTAACACATTAATGTTACAATTAAACAGTTTCACTTCATGTAGGCTAGGAACGTTCCACCTGCCGTGGCCCGACCGCTTCTGCTCCACATAAACTTTGTGCGTGATCAAATGTCTCTACGCGTCACGCGTCTCCATATTAGAGACGGGAACAAGCTCTGTTCAGCCAGTTTCATAATTTCATAAAAAGAACATTTTTCCAAGTGACACATCCCTCAGAGAGACCGGGTTTCCAGACTGTTTCAGTGGGAGGAAATCATTGCATGCGCCGTGGTTCTGCACTGCACTGCGAACCCCTCAGATCTTCAGCCCACTGTCCACCGTGGGCGCTCCGAGCCGCGCTGAACACAGTGTCCAGTATAAAGCTCTGATGTTCTGATGGGAATATTTTACCTCCGCGATGTGCGTTAACGATTAAAATGTCAGCTCATCCATGTGCATCAGTGTGCGTGGGGGTAATTCTTTCAAAACAACCAACATCCTTGAGTTTATCTGTCAAAATAAACAGTCAAATGGAAATATCTGTAACCTGCCGTTTAACTGTTTTGCCTTCTTGTGAAGATTGTTGCAAAGAGAAACAATTAAACTTGATTAACCCCAGAGCCACCCAGAGCTCATGTGGGAAGGTTCCTCCCACTGAAGCGAGTGTTTTCCAAACCCGGTCTCTCAGAGAGACTTGTCACTTAGAAAATGTTCCCTGATTATGAAACTTTGGCTGAATAGCGCTTGTTCCTGTCTCCAATGTGGCGACGCATCCAGGAGCCGTCTGAGGAGAAGCCCAGAATCTGACATCCTCCAGCAGGAAGCGCATATGATTACGCACAAGCGTGACGCGTCAACCCGGTCTCACAGTAAGACCGGGTTGGACCTGTTCAGGTTTACGCAGACAATCTTTACATTTAGAATTGGCATACAGATGTAAAATTAATGCAGTAAAATATAAAGCATTTTATTTAAATATCCATTCATTATTTTACAAACACAGAGAGCCGCATCAGATGGATGGAAGAGCCGCATGCGGCTCCAGAGCCGCCGACCCCTGAGCTAGCCTACTTTATTGTCCCCAGCAATTTTTAAACACCACTCAAGTGTATGGTTATTGTCCCCAGCAATTCTGAAAACAAACTGACGCCCTTGGCGGCAGTAGGGGAGCATGGACAAATGAGGAAGGTGGAGTCTCGGCGACTGCTTGTGTGTGTGTGTGTGTGTGTGGGGGGGGGGGGGGGGGGGGGGGGGCACAGATTAACGAGAAAGACGACAACCACCACAATATGCAGATCTAAAGTCGGTAATTCCAATGCACCCTGGGACTTTACATAAAAGCTCCAAGCTTCACTATCTTCTTGTCCAACAAGGACGATAGCACTAGCTTAGGCTGGCATTGGTAGCTCAGCCCAGCCTTGTCGGTATGAGCAAGGACTGGAAAGCCATGATGGTCCGTGGAATTATGCCCACCTCGGACCAAAAGCACAGTTTCCAGTTTTTATCCATCTTCTGTGTTTCTTGATTAGTCAATACTACAACTACATAAGAGGGGGACGAATCTGTTCGAGTCAACAGGTCGTTCACCAGAAAAGCAGAACTGTAAATAGTTGCTTTCATAAGACGGACCGTGCCGGCGAGTCGGCGTAATACTACGGCCACGGTGTATCTTATGAAAGCGCTGTGGCGGCAATGGCGATGCAGGAATTTTCCAGCTTTCATGGCACCAAGCTTGGTAGTAAAATAACCGCAGTGCCGACAACTATATTAAAAATGAAAGTAAACACGGGCTGTAATATTCGTTTTTGTAAACAAAATCAGCTGACAGCAAACTGGAGCACGGCAGAGCTCTGTGAGCTGGTCTCCATTAAAGCTGAAGCTCGGGGACTCCAGCGTGGGGTGACTGTGGAGGACATCCACCTTCAGGAGCTTGTCAAAAAAAACGTAAGGACAAAAACGTTTTATGTTCAAGCTAAAAGGAAGTATGTGACATTGCGGAGACTGCAAAACTGTTTCAGTATTTTATGCATCGCTTGAAAAAAAAACAGCACATATACCGTGTAGACAGATCTACGCAGGAGTCAGGGCTAGCTTTTATCAACTTAGACCTCTTATCCACTCCGATCTAGAGAAAGCCATTCATGCTCTCATTAGTTCACGCCTCGACTACTTTAACGCTCTGTGTCAGCTCGCACGAGTCCTCCTTTGCTCGTCTTCAGCTAGTTCACAACTCTGCAGCCCGTCTCCTCACAAACACACCTAGGCGGAGCCAGATTACTCCCGTTCTCTCGGAACTACACTCCCTGTGTCTTTCCGAATACACTTCTTAATCATCGTGTTCACGTTCAGGAGTACTCAGTCTCGGTCCTGCCTATCTCTCTGACTCTTTGTCTCCACGTAAGCAAGCACAGCCTATGAAGCCAACAGGAAAGTTAGTTCTGGAACTCCCGCGGTCTAGATACAAACACCAGGGTGATCGCTCGCTTTCAGTGATGACTCCTGTGTCTGATGATAGAGTTGTTTACTTTCAAATCAACATATCTATATCAGCAGGTATTTTATTATTGGGGTTTGTCTGGTAGCCACCCACCCTTTTATTCTTCCTTTTCAGCTTTCATGATTTGTGTATTTTACTTCTACGGTTTTATGTTCTATCTTTTATCGTGATGTCTGTTTTTATGCTCTATGGTCTTATTTTGTTATGTAAAGCACTTTAGTCACTGTCCATGGTTGTGGAAAGCGCTATATAAGTAAACTTGATTGATTGAATGTAGTTTTACAGTAAATCATTTGCCACTAAGCAGGCCGTGCCATAAACAAGTCCTCCTGACTGAACCACAAGGAAAACCAACGAGTTCTGGGTGTTCATGGTATAAATGCATAGATGTGGAGGTGTCAGTGTCCCCAATGAGCTCAGACCGGAGAGCAGCCAAGGTAGAAACTTCATTTATTTAAGAAAGAAAGTGTGAGAGGGCAGACACCTGTCTATTTTACCAAGTATAACATGTCAGTGAGGTTTTCCATTCGGGACCGCGCTAAAATAGCTCCCATTTTAAAATGACCTCTTTTTGCAGATGAGCAACGTGAGCTTAAAGAAGAGGAAACATTGAATTATAAAAAGTTAACCCCCACCCCAAAAATAGATCAAATAGCAACTAGGGCCACGTTCAAACAGTAAGTCCCTCTTTCAACCACACGAGGGAGACAGCACATAACACGAACCTGCCCGTATGCATGGGAACGTCTAAATCAGTGAAAAGAGGAGTTAATAAAACTTCAATGAACAACTTTTGTATGTAATGCAAAGCCTGAAAAAGTTAGAGTATTTTCAGGATTTTTAAACTTTACTTAAAGGATAATTAGTCTTTTTCTTTTTCCAGGTAAAACTTTAGCAAACAGCTGTGCTGATGTTAGTTTTGTACAAGAAGAGGTTTTCTTCCAAACCAGTGTAAAAGGCCTGTAGAGTCTGAGATGTAA